ATACTGTAAGTAGGTAGATATATACTGTAAGTAGATAAGTAGATATATACTGTAAGTAGATAGATACTGTATGTAGGTAGATAGGATGAGTAGCCCAGATAGTCTTACCTTAAGAAATCCTCAGCAGTCTTCTTTTAGATACTCAGACCACTTGCTGTGTTGATGGCCCAACTGTAGAGATGCTAGAAAGAAAAAGAGGAAATCAGTTAACTGTGGAAAAAAACTTGTAGCAACAGCATCTAAAATAAAAACAAACTTTAGTGCATGTTACTATAAAAACAATCAAACAAACAAACATCTCATTAACAATGTCCTTCACCCGTGCAGGGAGAAGGTTGGATCTACAATAACCCACTGTGGAAGTCCACCTGACCACACAGTCAACTCTGAACCTTCAACAACCAACACCTGTCTCTCTACACAGACAGATGTCAGGAGGTTGAGTGGAGGAGACTGCGTCCTCCACAGAACCTTCAGTGGGAGGAAGGTGCCAAAAGATCACCACAGCTAGGACCAACAGGAGGCTCCACTGAGCTCCTGGGACTGAAGAACATTTTTAATAAAATCTTTATAGTATAAATATTCTGAGTAGAGTATTTCTATTTTTCACTTTGCCAAGGCCTTTTTTGCACATGCACACTTTTGGAGTTTGATGCCGTCGTGTTGATGGACACGGTTTCTAAGGGTGTGTTCATAACAGGGAGGGGAGGTTAAAGGGAGCGCTGTAGCACTTACTCCTTGGCCCAGTTTGGATCTAGATTTAGACCAAGAACTGTTTTCTGATCCACCTTGATGTGAACCAGGTTCAAAATCAGTCACTGGTTGAGAGACAAAAATATCTGCCATAGAAATAGGGGATTGTGGGTAACGTCAATGTCTGATGTTTGACCATCCCACTATAACCAGGGATGGACAGACTGACCCACATCCTAGACAGGACATTACTTTTTGTTGTGAACACACCCTTAAACATTGTCCACCTTTGGTTCCAACCCCCTGGTTTGTCAATCAGCATAAGTTCAAATTGATTTCTGGGAACTGAACCCATATTTAGTAGCTGTACGTTTCTAATGTGAAGCACTTTTAGCCTAGAAATAAATGAGCAGTTTTTATATCTGGCTTTGACCAATCAGGGTTGTGTCTAAGAGCTTTATATAAAGAAATAAAACGTGTCATTAGCTGTTAGAATGTGTCACTACACAGTGAGCCAATAAACAGTAAAAGATCTGATTGTTTTGTCCACAATATGAATGAGTTTGTGGACACGTTTGTAACAACACGCCACATTGTCATCTTACTGTTTTATTTTACTACCTCTCTCATTGAGACCATTCCAAACAAAACCACTGCTTTGTTTGTGGTCGATGGTTTCTAGGTGTTTTCTAATTACCCCCCGCCCACACACACACACGTCCTCTCTAAGAGCAGACGTCCTCTCAGTGGCACTGGAGTAATTAGCTGCCAACTGTACGACCAGAAATACTTCTCCTTAGGATGTCTAAACTCATGACTATAAATAGAGGGTGTGTGTTGTTGAAAGGTCAACTCTGTGTGAGGACCAGGGGGGATTATCTACCACAAAAATAATTGTTGGAAGAGGAGGTTGGAAAGACGGCAGCAATCAAGTGTTAGGGTTGAATATTTGACTGATTGGTCAAATTGGATGTCAATCTACCTTCAGTCCCAGTCACCTTGACTGTGGAGCCTCACAGTCTCTACATACAGAAACATATTCTGCAAAAAACCACAAGTAAAACTCAAAATCCCTCAAGACTTCTTCAGGGATCTTGAGTCCACCAGGTGGTCTTACCTTCACTTCTGTTCCCTTAAGGAGTCCTCTTTCCTGGGACCGCCTGCTGTGTTGATGTTCATTGGCTGCTGACCACGTTCACCTCAGATCCACCTGGACAGATGTTAGAATGAAAGAGGAAATCAATGAACTGTGAAAAAAAACTTCAACCGCATCAAAAATGAAGACAAACACAAGCTAATTAGGAAACTTCAGATGAATTTGGAAAAGAGACCAGACGACACATGATGTTTCTGGACTCCTCCTCCACCAATCAGACCTACACTCATACCAGCTCACACAGTAGTTCTCTATTATATTACTACCTTCAAGTGGCGTCATTTTCTGAGCGACACATCCAATTATCTGCTCTGCAGTGTCTCCAGCATTGCACCCCCCATCCCCTCATCACATCAGTATATAGTTCCACTCTGATCATTACTTCAACAATATGCCTTTCTTTTTTTTTTTAATGTGTTGTTATAGTTGTACTTTTTGGACCAGGATTAAATTACCAGATGCCTGTTTGTAGCCTAAGCCATTGGAACCATGTGTCATATGATATAATGTAATGTTGAAGAGACTAAAACCACTGAGCAAATCTGTCACCTGGTGTCACTGTTAACACTGTTCTTTCTGTTTAGGACACAGGCCTTACACGTATTGAACCACGGTAACACGTTTTCTATATTCACAAGGATCCAGACTCAGCAGAGTAGATGTTGTTGAAGGGTTGATGTTAATAAAGACCTTGTATCTTTTTAAAATTCACTTCTTTTGTTGTCATTACGTCACAGTTTTACTACCTTAAGGCTCTTTTAGCAAAATTAAATATTTAAATTAAATATCCAAGTTGCATTTTAGTCTTCTCTAAGATTTTTTTAAGCCATATTTATATTAGATAGATACTGTAAGTAGATAAGTAGGTAGATATATACTGTAAGTAGATATATACTGTAAGTAGGTAGATATATACTGTAAGTAGGTAGATATATACTGTAAGTAGATAGATACTGTATGTAGGTAGATAGGATGAGTAGCCCAGATAGTCTTACCTTAAGAAATCCTCAGCAGTCTTCTTTTAGATACTCAGACCACTTGCTGTGTTGATGGCCCAACTGTAGAGATGCTAGAAAGAAAAAGAGGAAATCAGTTAACTGTGGAAAAATTTTCTATATTCACAAGGATCCAGACTCAGCAGAGTAGATGTTGTTGAAGGGTTGATGTTAATAAAGACCTTGTATCTTTTTAAAATTAACTTCTTTTGTTGTCATTACATCACAGTTTTACTACCTTAAGGCTCTTTTAGCAAAATTAAATATATTTAAATTAAATATCCAGGTTGCATTTTAGTCTTCTCTAAGATTTTTTTTAAGCCATATTTATATTTTATCTAAATTTCCTGTATATGAATACATTGAATTTACTTTTATAACGTTTGAGGAGGTTTACACTATAGGCTACCTTTTGAATAATACTAATTAAATAATATTAAATTACAGTATACTGAATTTCTGCTTTTTTTTTTTGTTATGCATGTCTGGCATTATTTTAGTTGTAGTTTTTAACATTTACCTACAAAATAGGTGAAATATATATTTTTGCAGTACATTTGTTCTGAACTCTTTCCAGACTTGGTTTTATTTATGATTTGACCAATTCTTCTAGCTTACATCTTAGCCACAGTTGATTTGTTAGATATAAGAAAATGTCTTTTTTTTCCTATTAAAATCTTAAAATAACAGAAGATTTTAAAGCCTATCTGAAAACTAAAGTTGGTATTTTTACTTCTCAACCTTTTGCAGACTTGGTTTTAATTATCATTTGGTAACTTTTTCGACCCATCTTAGACACTTGCTAATATATATAGTACAATACATACTGTATATACCATATATAATATGCTATATATATTAGGGATGCACCAAATATTCAGCCACCAAAAGACTTTTATCACCTTTTATCAACTTTTATTAGTTTTTATTTAATTTAATATTGTGCATTGTTTTAATGTGCTAAATAAAAAATTTCAGAATTTTGTAATTGTTTTATTCTTTGAAACATTAATATTAATTTATGGAAAATCCTTAGTTAGAAGTTATTGAGGTTAAGTACACAGTCATAGCCATAAAGGCAATGGTACTAATAATTGGCATAATAATTTCTTTCGGTGTTTCGGTCAACAATTTTAATTTTGGTGCATCCCTCATATATATGTATATATATATATATATATACATACATACATATA